GTAGACGCAGTGGTCGGATAACGTTGAGGACGGTAGACGCAGTGGTCGGGTAACGTTGAGGACGGTAGACGCAGTGGTCGGGTAACGTTGAGGAGGGTAGACGCAGTGGTCGGGTAACGTTGAGGAGGGTAGACGCAGTGGTCGGGTAACGTTGAGGACTTTAGACGCAGTGGTCGGGAAACGTTGAGGACGGTAGACGCAGTGGTCGGGTAACGTTGAGGACGGTAGACGCAGTGGTCAGGGTACATCGAGGACGGTAGACGCAGTGGTCAGGGTACATCGAGGACGGTAGGCGCAGTGGTCAGGGTACATCGAGGACGGTAGACGCAGTGGTCAGGGTACATCGAGGACGGTAGACGCAGTGGTCAGGGTACATCGAGGACGGTAGACGCAGTGGTCAGGGTACATCGAGGACGGTAGGCGCAGTGGTCAGGGTACATCGAGGACGGTAGACGCAGGTACATCGAGGACGGTAGACGCAGTGGTCAGGTAACATTGAGGACGGTAGACGCAGTGGTTGGCCAACGAAACTTAATGCAGCAGATGAAAGACACATTATGCTTACCTACCTTTCACATCGGAAGATGTCCATCAGAGCCATCAGCACAGAACTGGCAGAAACTAGTGGGACACCCATCTACTATCCAGAAAAGTCTGGCCAGAAGTGGTCTTCATGGATGAACTGCGGCAAAAAAGCCAAACCTCCAACATGGAAAAAAGGCTAAGAAACACAACTATGCAGGAAAACACTGGAACTGGGGAGCAGAAAAATGGCAGCAGGACTGATGAGTCAAAATGTGGCAACAAACTGCCTCCTGCTACAGCCAAACTTTTCAAAGGGCGCAATAATGAGCGTCTGCAGCCAACTGTGAAGCATGGAGGTTCCGTACAAGTTTTGGGCTGCATTTCTGCAAATGGAGTTGGAGATTTGGTCAGGCTCAATAGTGTTCTCCTGGGAAATACAGGCAGACACTTATGCATCATACCAATTTATTCTACAGCAGGACAACCACCCCAAATATACAGCCAATGTCATCAAGAACGGTCTTCAAAGAGGAACAATAAGTCCTGTAAGTGATGGTTTGGCCCCCACAGAGCCCTAATCCCATCACCATGGAGTCTGTCTGGGATGCCATGAAGAGACAGAAGGATTGGAGGCGGCCGACAGCCACAGAAGATCTGGGCTTAGCTCTCCAAGATGTTTGGAACAACCTACCTGCCGAGTTTCTTCAACAAGTGTGTGCAAGTCTACCTAGAAGAAGGCAAAGGGTGGTCACACCAAATATTGGTTGGATTTCCTCTTCATTTACTTTCCATTTACTTATTTGATAAAATAGAATGCCTAATTTCCCGCATAGGCTATAACATACTGTATATACAGTAACTTGAGTATAGGCTGCAGTTCCTCCATTCTCCACTAGGGAGGTGACGTCTCTTGCAACATGTGTAGCATATGGACAGGAAGTGATGTAATCTACAAACAGGAAGTTCCGGGTCAGAAATGAGCTGGTAGGAAGTAGAGAGGAGACATTGCTGGAACTGGCAGCAGAGGAGGTAATAAGATCTGATTTTCTATTTACACACAGTAACCCCCCGTCATGTCCGTCCTCTTCCTCCATCATCATGCCGTCCTCATCATCCATCGTCATGTCCGTCCTCTTCCTCCATCGTCACTGTGACATCTTTTATCTCCATATTATTATTATACATTTATATAACTCTGACATATACCGCAGCGCTGTACAGAGAATACTGAGCCAGTCACATCAGTCTCTGTACCAGAGGAGCTGACACTAATCTCCCCTCCCCCCACAGTCCTATCAGTCTCAGCACCAGAGGAGCTGACACTCTAATGCCCCCTCCCCCACAGTCACATCAGTCTCCGTACCAGAGGAGCTTACGCTCTAGTGTCCCCTCCCCCGCAGTCACATCAGTCTCCGTACCAGAGGAGCTTACGCTCTAGTGTCCCCTCCCCCGCAGTCACATCAGTTTCCGTACCAGAGGAGCTTACTCTCTAATGTCCCCTCCCCCGCAGTCGCATCAGTCTCCGCACCAGAGGAGCTTACACTCCAATGTCCCCCGCAGTCGCATCAGCCTCTGTACAAGAGGAGCTTACACTCTAATGTCCCCTCCCCCACAGTCGCATCAGTCTCTGAACCAGAGGAGCTTACAGTCTAATGTCCCCTCCCCCACAGTCACTTTATCGATTGGCTAAAGACTTTATACAGCGGCGCTGAAAGCTTCATTCTTGTAAATGGTTGGATTGGACGGCCCTTTGAGGTTGGCTCAGGTGTGCGTCAGGGATGTCCTTTGAGTCCTCTGCTATATGCGTTTGTAATCGATCCCTTCATTCGGAGGTTAGAGAGCGGATCATTGTGTGGAGTTCCTTTGGGCATTCCTGGGGAGCCCCCTCTGAGGGTCGTGGCCTATGCTGATGACGTGTCTGTTTTCATCTCCGGGACTCAGGAGGCGGAGGAGGTGGTCTCGGTGATGGAACAGTATGCTGAGGCATCTGGCTCAAAGATCAATCAGGATAAGAGTGAGGTTTTCTGGATGGAAGAGGAAGGCGAAGGCTTTACCCTTCTGGACACCTTCCCAGAGCCCCAGCAGGAAATTAAAGTTTTAGGCATCAGGTTTGGTCCCGGTGATTACGGCCTTGCAAATTGGGTAAGCAGGCTACAAGATGCCGATGCCAAGGTGGCCAGCTGGAAGGATTGGAAACTCTCTTACAGGGAAAGGATTGACCTGATTAAAACTTACCTGATCCCGGTATTTCTGTATGTCAGCTTTGTCTGTGTTTTGCCAGTGTCTCTCTATGCGAGGATCTACAGTTGTTTCTTCCAGCTGTTATGGGGGCACAAACTGAACCTTATTAAGAGGTCTGTAACCTACCTTCCCAGGTGGATGGGTGGCCTAGGTATGGTCAACCCGGTGGTTTTCTTTTCTCTGATGTTTTTGAAACATCATTTTTTGTAGCATGCTGGCAGAGGAACCGCCTGGGTGGGTTGGTATTTTTCAGTCCTGGTTTAGGCCTTTTCTGCGGAGCTGGGAGAATGGTGGGCCAGTGAAAAGCCTGGGGGTCCAACATGGTAAGCTCCCGGCTTATGTTGCCCCATGTCTGAAAATGCTTTGGCAATGGCGAGTGACAGTGGAGGAAATGAAGTCTCTTCCGAGGAAGGCCCTGGAGAAGAGGGTTGTTGAATTTGCCTTTAGCGAACCATTGGCCTTGAGGGATTGCCCAGGCCCAGTTATGAGAGAGGGCCTGCATTTGATTAATCTGGAGAGAATCCCTTTAAAGTTTCGGGATTTGGCCTGGCTCTCGTTCCATGGCAGACTCTATGTGAAGGGCAACCTGAAGCATCGCTCTGTGGAGAACCGTGGTTGTCCAAGAGTGGAGTGTGGTGGGGTGGAGGAGGAGACGATGGATAATTTCTTGCTTCAGTGCCCCTTCAATATAGATATCTACAAGCCGGTGGGTGGGGCTCTGGGGATCCCTTTCCTTTCCCACTTGAGTTACGCGGAGTGGTCTTATGGAGCCTTTCAGACTCGCCAGGACTTTGATTTTGAGACACTTTTTCTAGTTAGCTTAGTAGTCCGTTACTACACGTGGAATACACGGTGTCAGGTTTCCATTCGCAAAAAAGTCCTTCCTGTCAAGGTGGTGGTGAACAACATTCGGGGTGAGGTTGGGAAGATTCGGGGTCTTGAGAAGGACAGGTGGCGGCTGGGAGCCTGGACAAAGGCGTGGAGAAATGTCAGGTCCCTGTAGCTGCTGTCTGTCAGTCTCTGAGGGCGTGGCTTCTCTTTCTGTCCTTTCAGGTCCCCTAGATTTTTGTAACATCAGATTTTTGAAGAAAGGCTGCATGCATGGGATCAATCTTTAATCGTTTCTTAGCCTGAGGGGGGGGTTTAGGTGACCGTCAGGATTTGTTATTATTTTGCTGAAGTAAGCTGGTTTTGTTTAATTATATATATATTTTATTCTGTATATACGTAAATATGATTTTTATGATGTTATTTGTTTGCAAGATTTTAATAAACAAAAAAATTACACTCTAATGTCCCCTCCCCCACAATCACACACTGTTGTATAATAAAATACAAGAAGGTGTTACACTAGGCTGTGTCAGTTGTGTGCCGTTGTCAGCTTGTGTTTTTGTGAATGGAAACCCTTTCCTCCAGCAGCAATCATTGACCACACAAGCTGACAGTTTCCACTCTCTCTGTGTCCTGCATAGCAGGCTGCAACTCCGCACTCTGTGAGCACTGAATGGGAGAGATGAGCTCACAGTGCTGCAGAATGTCGAGAAGACGGGGCTCGGTGCTGGATGTAACTCCTTCCCTCCCCCTATGGAACGCCTATATTTTTAGGTTTGGGGGGGGGGCTTTTTTCTCTCATGATTGATCTTCTTTATTGCACATCTGATTGTTGTCTACAGAAAGGAAAGCCCGGTACAGATCACATGACGACGATCAAGAGGATGGACAAGCAGTGGAGTCACTTGACGGGGAGGATGTTAGACCTCACCCTGGAGATCATCTACCTGCTGACCGGAGAGGTGAGGAGGATTCTGGGAGGTCACATGACATCACTCTCATCTCTATTAATAAAACACAGACCTGACCGGAGAGGTGAGGAGGATTCTGGGAGATCACATGGTGAAAATTGCTCTGTATGTTTTTAACAGGATTACAAAGTTGTGAAAAGGTCATCTAATATACTGGCTCCCAGTAGTTGTCCCCATGAGTCCTCTACACCTCCATCCCTGATACCCGAGAGCAAGAAGCAAAAGATTATAGAAGTCACCAAGAAGATGATGGAGCTGTTGACAGGAGAGGTGAGCGTTGCCAGGAATTCTGGGACATTCTCCAGTAACAGACAAGGGATGTGTCTGGATGGTGACTGTATCATTGTGTGTGTCAGGTTCCTATAAGGTGTCAGGATGTCACTGTCTATTTCTCCATGGAGGAGTGGGAGTATTTTAGAAGGACACAAGGACCTCTACAAGGACGTCATGATGGAGGATCAGCCGCCCCTCACATCACCGGGTAAGAGGAGACTGGATTATGAATGATAAAAGTAGAGTTGTCCATTTTATTTTGAAATTCCATCTCGGGGAGAAGGCTTCTTTGGATGTACTGACTCCCGAAGCCAGTATCTCTTCTCCTCGTGTTTCTGTTGGGTTGTCCTCCTGCATTTCTCTAGTCTCTTCCTTCAGCTTTCCCTTGTTGCCAATGGGGTTTAGAAGTCAGTCCCAGCACCACAATTCTTCAGGTCATAAATGCGTATGTCATGATGGACAATCAGCCGCCCCTCACATCATTGGGTAAGAGGAGACTGGATTATGAATGATAAAACTGGAGTTGTGCATTTTATTTTGAAGGTCCATCTTGGGGAGAAAGCCTTCATTGGATGTACTGACTCCCGAAGCCAGTATCTCTTCCCCTCGTGTCTCTGTTGGGTTGTCCTCCGCCTTCATTTCTGTCCTTCCCAGCACCACAATTCTTCAGGTCATAAATGTGTACAAGGAGAAGATCCCCATAATCAGTTGCATGGCCTGTTAGCACTGGGAAGGGTGATGGTGCTCTGAGTAACAAAGGGACACTTGTTCCCCAGTAAGGTAGCCAAACCAATGTCCATTGAGGAACCTCGGCTAACTCTGAGGGCCTCATTACCAAACATTCACACATAATGTATCTAATGTGTTTATACCCTATGATCGCCTCCTCCATCTAGAGGCAAGATGACTCCTGACTGGAAGGGCTCGTTTATACTTCCTTCTACTTCAACACACATGAAGGTGCCTACCACGTCAACGTGGTTTTTTTGATGTGTGTTTGATGCTTCGATGATGCTTTTTTGAAGCTTTAATAAAGCTTGGCAAATGCCTTGTTCGTGTGTTGATTTTTTACGTGTTTTAAAGGATCACAGTAGATCCCCAGCTCATTAGTACCCTCGTTCAGCAGATCCATTGCTCATTAGTATCCCCCACTCAACAGATCCCCAGCTTATTGGTGCCCTTGTTCAGCAAACCCCCAGCTCATTGGTACCCCCACTCAGCAGATCCCCAGCTCAATGGTACCCTTGTTCAGCAGATCCCCAGTTCACTGGTATCCTCCAGCAGATACCCTGCTCAGTAGTACCCCCACTCAACAGATCCCCAGCTTATTGGTGCCCTTGTTCAGCAAATCCCCAGCTCATTGGTATCCTCGTCCAGCAGATCCCCTGCTCAGTAGTACCCCTACTCAGCAGATCCCCAGTTCAATGTTACCCCTGTTCAGCAGATCCACAGCTCACTGGTATCCTCCTTCAGCAGATCCCCTGCTCAATAGTACCCCCAGCTCTCATGGTGCCCCACTCAGTAGTACCCCCAGCTTTGCTAATGCCCCACTCAGTGGTAACTGCCAGCTCTGCTGATCCCCCGCTCTGTGGTAACTCCCAGCTCTGCTGATCCTCTGGTTTTCTGATTTTTTTACTTGTTTTAAAAGGTCCAAGTAGATCCCCAGCTCATTAGTACCCTCGTTTAGCAGATTCCCAGCTCACCGGTACCCTGCTTCAGCAGATCCCCTGCTCAATAGTACCCCCAACTCTGCTAATGCCCCACTCAGTAGTAACCCCCAGCTCTGCTGATGCCCCACTCAATAGTAACCCCCAGCTCTGCTGATGCCCCACTCAGTGGTAACCCCCAGCTCTGCTGATTCCCCGCTTAGTAGTTCCCCCAGCTTTACTAATGCCCCACTCAGTAGTAACCCCCAGCTATGCTGATCCCCCGCTAAGTAGTACCCCCAGCTTTACTAATGCCCCACTCAGTAGTAACCCCCAGCTATGCTGATCCCCCGCTCAGTAGTACCCCCAGCTTTACTAATGCCCCACTCAGTAGTAACCCCCAGCTCTGCTGATCCCCCACTCAGTAGTAACCCCCAGCTCTGATGATCCCCAGCTCAGTAGTAACCCCCAGCTCTGCTGATCCCCAGCTCAGTAGTAACCTCCAGCTCTGCTGATCCCCTGCTCAGTAGTAACCCCCTGCTCTGCTGATCCCGCGCTTAGTGGTAACCCCCCGCTCTGCTGATTCTCTGGTTTGCTGATCCTCTTCCCGCTCCGGTCCCCGCTCACCTTCCTCCATAGCATCCCTATGTTGCACACCATGTGTGCTGACTGTTAGCTGCTCTGTTCTATTCCGGACCCTGCTTGCCTTCCTGCTGCTCCACGCTGCACACCAAATGTGACATCTGCGTCAGACACTTCCAGAGTATATACACATGAATCGGATGTGAAAACAAAGCGAAGCTAACTCTGAATAAAGGCCTCTCCGAAGCTCTAGGTGCTGTTAGCAGGCAATGTCATAGACTTGTATGGAGGCTTCTGAGACGCTTTGAAGCACCAAGAAAGTCCCTCGGGGTATAATTTTTAAGTGAAGCAAACACAACACTGTGAACAGAACTGTAAGGTGACCATTATATTTAGTGACAGGTGCTTTGATTGGCATTTAGAGTGCTTTAACCCCTCGCCTACCGGGCACTTACACCCCCTTCCTGCCCAGGCCAATTTCCAGCTTTCAGCGCTGTTACACTTTGAATGACAATTGCGCGGTCATGCAACACTGTACCCATATGAAATTTTTTAGCATTTTTTGTGACAGATAGAGCTTTATTTTGGTGGTATTTATTCACCTCTGGGTTTTTTATTTTTTTTAAACAAACAAAAAAAACACTGAAAATTTTGAAAAAAAAAAACTTTTTTCTTAGTTTTTGTTATAAAATTTTGTAAATAAGTGATTTTTCTCCTTCACTGATGTGCGCTAATGAGGCTGCAATGATGGGCATGGATAGGCTGCACTGATGGGCACTGTTAGGTGGCACTGATGAGGAGGGTACTGGTAGGTGGCACTGATGGGAATTGACAGGCATCACTGATAGGCACTGAAAGGCAGAACTCATATATGGCACTGATAGGCGGCACTGACTGGCACTGTTAGGCGGCACTGATAGGCACTGTTAGGCGGCACTGATAGGCGCACTGATGGGCACTGATAGATGGCACTGATGGGCACTGATGAGGAGGCACTGGTAGGTGGCACTGATGGGCATTGACAGGCATCACTGATGGGAACTGAAAGGCAGCACTCATATATGGCACTGATAGGCAGCACTGATGGGCACTGATAGGCGGCACTGATGCATACTGATAGGCGGCACTGACTGGCACTGATCGGCGGCACTGACTGGCACTGATCGGCGGCACTGACTGGCACTGATAGGTGGCACTGACTGGCACTGATATGTGGCACTGACTGGCATTGATAGGTGGCACTGATGGGTGATACTGAAAGGAAGCTCAGATGGGCACTGAAATGTGACATTGATGTGGCACTGATGGACACTGACAGGTGGCACTGCTTGGGCTACATTGATCATCAGGGCACACTGATCATCAGTGCCCTGATGATCAGTGTACATGTCCCCTCCAAGGAATGCCGATTACCAGCTCTCCTCTCCTCTGTCAGCGTGATAGCTCGTGAGGAGAGAAATGCCGATAACCGACATTTCCTTATTTACATGCGATCAGCTATGATTGGACACAGCTGATCACATGACCAAGCCGACCTCTTCGGCTCTTTCCGTTGATCAGTGAGCCGCTGTGTCCGAGGGACACAGCGCACCGCCGATTGCAACGCTGTGCACTCCCGAAGGTGCGCATGCACGGTAAGAATGGGACGACGTCATATGACGTCCTCCCAGAACGAGAGAACCACCTTGCGCTTATCATTGGACTATATGGCGGGCGGGAGGCGGTTAAAAAAAAAGCGTGTCCAACACCACATTTTGAAGCGCGTGTAAACGAGGCCGAATACATGAAAACTGAATGTGCTTTTATGATTGATAAAATCCTTTTTTCCAACAGATAAATGCGATGTCTGGAATACCTCTGAGGGACATCGAATTATAACTCCAGATTCCAATCCAAGAGACCATGGCGCTGCATATTATCTTCCAGGAGAAAACCCAGCTACCCAAACTACACATCGCAGAGTCGATGATAAAACACTCGTGAGTTCTGAAGGCCTTAAAGGTTTCCAAACGGAAAAATTGATTTCAGCAAACCAAGGGCCCCACACAAACAAGCGTCCATTTCCATGTTCAGAGTGCGGGAAAAGTTTCCCTTGGAGAGGACATCTTCTCACACACCTGAAAAGTCACATTGGTGAGCGTCCTTTTGCATGCTTAGAGTGCGGAAAATGTTTTATCCAGAAAGGAGATCTTCTTAGACACCAAAAGAGCCACACAGGCGAGCGTCCTTTTCCATGTTCGGAGTGCGGGAAATGTTTCATACAAAAAACGGACCTCCTTAGACACAAGAGGATTCACACGGGCGAGCGCCCTTATTCCTGTACAGAGTGCGGAAAATGTTTCACTCAGAAAGGAAGCCTTCTCACGCACCAGAAAAGCCACATAGGTGAACGTCCTTTTGTGTGTTCAGAGTGCGGGAAATGTTTCATTCAGAAAGGAGATCTTCTTAGACACCAGAAAAGTCACAGCGGTGAACGTCCTTTTTCGTGTTCAGAGTGCGGGAAATGTTTCATACACAAAGCAGATCTTCTCAGACATCAGAGAAGTCACAAGGGCAAGGGTCCTTTTCTGTGTTCAGAGTGCGGGAAATGTCTGATGCGGAAAGCGGACTTTCTTACCCACCAAAGAAGACATATGGGTGACTGTCCTTTTTCATGTTTGGAGTGCGGGAAAAGTTTCACTCGGAAAGGAGACCTTCTTACCCACCAGAGAAGCCACACGGGAGAACGTCCTTTTTCTTGTTGAGTTCCGAATGAAAATATATCTAAAAACACAAACACTCCAGGCAAACACATAGAGCGAACGGTCACAGGTGCGCAGTTTCTCCTGGGTCTGCTTTCTCCCCTCCAGGCATTTTAATACATAAGCTGCACTGCTGTATATTTTTTTATAACAACTTCAACAAGCTTTATTGCAAACAGATAGGTCAGGCGGATATTCGCTCCTTTGTCAG